TCCCATCTGGATTTTCTCCTAACCATTGTATATAAAGCCCTGTTTTTTTAACCTTCCTATTTTATTAAGTTTATTGAGAAGAGTCATTGATTTGAATTGTTTTTAACCGCCTGCTTTTAGGGTTTTTTCTCTGCTTTAAAGCAGGCCATTAGTGTCTGCTACTAGGGTCCTTTGCAATCCATTGGAAAGGAGGAGCTAGAGAGAGCTTAATCGTGGCGTTCTATGGTTATCTAATGGTTTTTTAATTTCTTAATTAAAGGGTTTTGAGGATTTGTTTCAGAGAAGAGATTTTTCTATGATATATCCAGAGCTTTAACACGTTAAAACCCTAGACTGAGCAGAACCAATTTCACTTCTGGTTCAAGCCATGGATGACCTAGAGAAAGCAATTATCATCAGCTTTGACGAATCAGGAAATATAAACCCCAGTCTCAAGGCTCAGGCTATTGCTTATTCTCAACAGATAAAGGAGACCCCTTCGATACACCGCTTGTTTATCGAGAGGCTCTCTTACAGTAACTACACTCAGGTTCAGTTCTGGTGCTTGCAAGCTTTAGAAGAAGTTCTAAGGCTTAGGTATTCTTCTCTGAATTCAGACGAAAGGTCTTTTATTCGCAAATCTATTACTTCGATTGCTTGTCTTGAAGGTCTTGATGGTCAGGATTCATCCACAATCAGGGTTTTGAATGCTCCAGTCTTCGTAAAGAACAAGCTTGCTCAAATCATTGTAACGCTAATCCACCTTGAATACCCCATTGCCTGGTCCTCCATCTTCTTGGATTTTCTGTCTCATCTCTCTAAAGGTCCATTGGTTGTTGACATGTTTTGTCGAGTTTTGAATGCCCTAGATGAAGAGCTCATAAGCTTGGATTATCCTCGAAGCCAAGAGGAGTTACAAGCAGCTGTTAGAGTAAAGGATGCAATGAGGCAACAATGTGTGCCTCAAATTGTTGGAGCCTGGTATGAACTTGTAACCTTGTATAAAGACTCAAATCCAGAGCTAGCTGCTAGTGTTTTGGATACTATGCATAGATACGTGAACTGGATTGATATAGGGCTCATAGCAAATGAAGTATTTGTACCTCTTCTTTTCGAGATCATGCTCTCTGAATTGAAATTAGAGCATTTAAGATGTGCTTCTTCTACTTGTGTTTCTTCAATTGTTGGTAAGAGAATGGACCCTCAATCAAAGCTCACTTTGTTAAGGAAGATCCAAATAAATCGGGTTTTTAGTTTGGTTTTAGGAGATGAAGAAACCCAGTTGAAATCTACTGTCTCTGATCTTCTTACTTGCTATGCAACTGAGGTTTTGGATTGCTCAAAGAGACTGGACTCTGAAAAAGTTTGTGAGTCGAACATAGATTATAAAAGCTTATCCATTGAACTCTTGGATGAGGTTTTGCCATCTGTTTTCTATGTTATGAAGCACAATGAGATTGATTCTTCTTTTAACACTGTTCAGTTTTTATCAAACTATGTTTCCACCATGAAAAGCCTCTCCCCTTTGAGGGAGAAGCACATTCTTCATTTGGGTCAGATCCTAGAAGTCATTCGAGCTCGAATTTGCTATGAACCCATATATAGGGAAAACCTGAATATCCCGGATAAGATTGGAATGGAAGAGGAGGATAGAATGTTAGAATATCGAAGGGATTTATTCGTGCTTCTTCGAAGTGCAGGTAGAGTGGCACCCGATGTTACCCAACTATTTGTTAGGAACACTTTTGCGACTGCTTTGGGATCCTCGGAAATGCAAATTGAAGAGGTAGAAGCTGCAATTTCTCTTTTATATGCGATTGGGGAAGCGATTAGTGATGAGGGAATCCGGACTGGAACTGGGGTCTTGGGTGAGATTGTTCCATTGCTCTTATCAGCAAGGTTTCCTTGCCATTCTCACAGGCTTGTGGCATTGGCTCACTTGGAAACTGTGTTTAGATATGCAAAGTTTGTGCAAGAGCACACAGAGTATGTGCATGTGGTGCTTGGTGTGTTCTTAGATGCAAGGGGTATCCACCACCCAAATCGTAGAGTGAGCCGGCGAGCCAGTTATCTCTTCACAAGGGTTGTGAAGCTCTTGAGAGGGCATCTTATACCCTTCATTCCAACGATCCTACAGGTACCTTTTGGTATTTTTGATGCTTTTCTATCTTTGCCTGTATTTTTGATGCTTTTCTATCTTTGCCTAATTGGCTGTCAGGCATTTCATTGAAGTTATGTTTTTGGGTTTTATTTGTACTTGTGTTTATTTAAAGTCTTTTCTTCCTTGGTTCAACATTTGTTGTTGACTATTTTTTTTTTATGATGGGTGGATGATCAGAGTCTTCAAGATACTGTTGTTGAGTTCACAAGATCTGATTGGTCTGCAAAAGAGCTGAAGGGAATGGGTTCAGAAGATGGAAGTCACATATTTGAGGTGAATATCATCTATATGCAAATTGCTACTATTTCTAATTCCTTTCAAAAGGCTCCAAATTTTGATTTTGTTTTGTGTTCCTACTTCTGATAGTTATGTTTTAAGTTGATTTTTTGTAATTATTACACTTTTGACCCAACCCTTAATAAAGCAGAATGGCGGACCAGAAATTGTGTAACCGACCCCAATTAGTTGGGAAAAGGCTCTGATACTGACGATGATTACGCTTTTACATGGCAAATGATTTTATGTTCACACTACTTTGTGCATGTTTATAGGCAATTGGCTTGCTGATTGGAATGGAGGAAGTATCGCCAGATAAGCAATCTGAATACCTCTCGGCATTGCTCGTGCCTCTATGTCGACAGGTGCTATAGCTGCTGCTTCTTGTAGTGGAATACTCAACTAGGCCAGTTAGTTTGCAACTATTCAACAAACTGTTTCCTTGATAATATCTAAACTTTTATTGAGGTGGTTATGATGTGAATTGCTAGACCTGTACTTGTCTATTAGGTGAAGCCTAGAAATAGTACATTGATTACTTTTGGGCATATATATTGTCTTGGAAACACTCTGGAACCCACTTAATCTGTTAGCACTTAATCTGTTGGTTAGCAATGTGCCATGATCCCTTGTGAGTGGTCCACATGGTTACTTACCCATCCAGTCTCGGTGCCACCATCCTGTCTTTGGTGATGCTTTGCTGAGGTATTGCAGATTGGGTCTGCATCAAGTTATAGGCATTTTTCATTAATGCTATAGTCATTTTCGGGAAGATTGATTTATTTTAAATAACTTTCAAGTTATCTGTAAAGTTTACGTGGTTGCTATTGCTATTTGCGTCCTTGTGTTGTTTGATATACCTTAATATACCTCCTCTTGTTGCAGGTTGATTCGCTGCTTTCAAACTCCAGACAGCAGAACCCTGCGGATAATGCTGCTAATGTAGTTCGCATCCAGCAAGCAATTGTGGCTATAAATGCACTGAGCAAGGTCTTCTTTCATTCTCAAGCTATCTGTAACTTGTGCTCATTGGTTTCTAGAGTTGGACAGTTTCTCCTCACAACCATCCCCTTGTCTTGCCATCGTTGTGGTGGAGTTTTAAAGATCGTATGTAGAGAACTAGAGATAGCAAGGAGCTGCATTCGATATGTTCCTTATTAGCTTGGGTATTTCAGATTAAAATCAGATGTTTGTGCTCTTATCATCTGAAGCATCCATTCCAAGAAACATGTTTTATGCATGGTCACATAAAGAGTAATCGCTTCTGGTTTCTCATGCTTGACTTGCTCTCTGATTTACATGGGTCTGGTTTGCTTCAACTTCAGCAAATTATACTGGATTTTAAGTTTTAACTCAAGAATATGCTATTCTAGTTGGTCTTGTTCACTAGAGTAATTAAAATCAGCGGCTTATGTTATGATCTGGGAAAAAGCTTAGGCACCAGTAGCTTTTTCATCTTTTTTAATAAAATATTTTTAGATATAAATCACAGATCTTATGTTTCTCTCTTGCTATGAATTGTTTAGGGTTTTAGTGAGCGGCTTGTGACAACTGGACGTCCCACAATTGGATACATGTTTAAGCAGGTAAATGGACAAGCTTTTCGTATATGCCATGCACACATGCAGGTTTTGGGGTTTTACCAATAATACCTGATTCCAGAGTTTGATTTCAACTCTATTTCATTTGTATATAGTTGATCCCAGGTAAAATGATTGAAAGGCTGGATATGAGTGGTTCTTCTTTCCTTTTCTATCTGAGGTCCAATATGTCCTTTAGATTCCGGAAATCTCTGACATATTTCTATCATTAAAAAAAAATGTCTGGTATATTCATGAGCTTTAAATCTTTGAATTCCTTTAATGCATGATGCCAGTTTTAAAAAAATCTTTGGCCTATTTTAGTATTTTACTGGTAATCCTTGTGCTGATATTGGGCAAAATCCAGAAAGACCTTTGAGATTACGTGGCAGTTCTCTTTTTGAATATTAAAGGATAATGCATTTCTATCTTTGATTTTTACCAGAAGAATTCCTTTTTGCCCTTCTTAAAGATATTCTATATGTAGGAACTCACACACACATGCAAATTTTCTTTCTTTCATTCTATAGTGTCTTCTAGAAAGATTTTTCTTGTACTATGTCTGAATTTTTCCTTTTCCGGCTTGTTGAAATTGTCAGACTCTGGATGTTCTTATGCAAGTCCTTGTGGTGTTTCCCAAGCATGAACAGCTGAGGAGTAAGGTAAAAAGACCTCAGTGCACTCTTGTTCTCTCAAGTTGAATTGGCCAATTCATAATCTTATATTTGATTTTGGTAACTGCAGGTTACCTCATTTCTTCACCGAATGGTCGATACTTTGGGGCCATCAGTATTTCCTTACCTTCCTAGAGCACTCGAACAATTGCTTGTGGAAAGTGAGGTGCGTATAAGGATTCAGTGCTGTTGTACTTATTGTCTCTGTTGCCGTATGTTCACAGCTAGATGTATGACCACAATTTATCTTATCAGTTCACTCGCCCCGTTCCAATATTACTCTTTTTGGGAAAGTATACTAAACCATAATGGATTATGGAAAACCAGTTCCCATTTAGGTCATCGCCTTCCTATTAAAATGGGGACCTGGGCAAGTGATGGTTGGAGAGTGGGACCCACTAGAACAGGAAATGACCTTTATGGTGATTCCCATTCTCTCCACCAGCGTCTGTGATTTCATTAGATGGTGCCTGTTTTCCATAGTCCATTCGGTTATATGTTGGACTTATTTGTTTGTATTGAGGCTTGAGGCCTACATTATATCCCTCTTACTAGATAGTTGATAGTTATAGGTATATAATTATGGAAAAAGTTTATATAAGGTTGGCACCTTAAAATGTAGAATTAAGGTGTACTTCTAGAATCCTTTGAAAAGAGTTGTTTTGATGTTCGAAAAGTATTGAATTGATCATCGCGATATCCAGATGTATAGATATGGAGAAAAAAAGAAAGAGATTTCAAATCCTAAAAATAGTACATCTTGCAACACGTTATGTGGACCGTCTATTTTCAAGACTTTCATGTGTTTATCGATCTGCTTGATTTGAATCATTTTTGGTGTTAAAAGTTTTATAATTAGAGATAGAAAAAGATTCTGCATCATCCTTAGAAATTTCGACAAAAAAATTGCATCTCATGCGAAAATTTGAATGTACACCTTACTTTGATTGTTTAAGGTTGCAACCTTATGCAAATCACAACCTATAATTGTGTATCTGTTCTGGAGATCTTATAAAGATTAGTCAGTTTAGTTGGTATGTTAGATTGTGGACCTAGAGATGTATGCAACTTAGACAGGATATGATACTAGGAGAGTTATTTATTTTATTGATTAAATATTTCTATGAAGCAGGAGTATGTAGACTTTATTATGTGGCTTAGTTTCCCTTTCATAATTACTGGTATAGCTCACTATAAAAACCTGTTACATGAGAAGCATTTTTTAAGTGGATCGGCGGAGTGGATCGTCCACCCACTTATCCCGTTCTGAATCTGCCTGGATTGATGATATGGTAAAATTAGGAAAAAAAGTAAAGAAAAGAATACGACCATATAATATATAGGGCATAATCTTTAGGTTGGCTTGACCATTTGAACTTATGGGTGAGATCTGATGTTTGATCCTCTGCAATGTGCTATATTTTTTTAACCCTTAAAAAGAAAAATGAGGCACGAACAATTTTTTTTTCAAACGGTTAAAAAAAAGGAAGCGCGCTGCAAGGGATTTGAACCTCGATCTCGTAGTTCAATAGATCCTGGCTCACCATTTAAGCCATCCGGCTCTTTTGTAATAAAAGGTCTATGTTACATATTATATATTATGTAATTGCCGATTTCCGATCAGGAATAAGCATTGTCCCTGGAGATTCCTAAACCAGATTGCGATTTTTTGAACACTGATGAGAAGTATTTCGATAAACATATTACAAGGTAAGAATGTTATAAGATAAAGGTATTAAGAATTGTTACAAAGAGGGGATGGAATTGCTTTGATGATGTCCAGTAATGTAAGTATTTACTTCTTGTCATGCTTGTGTATTATTTGATGAACAAAAACATCCATCTAATGATTTAGTTACCATAATAAAATTGTAACCTTTCTTGGCAAAAAGGTAAAGAATGATGGATTCTCGTTAACTCAAACCTTCTCCAGAAACCCTATTTGAGGCCAGTACACCATCCACTGTATTGGCTTCCTATATACGTAGTGGGTCAAGATCGCGATGGGCAACTTTTATAACACCCTCTAATTATGCCCACAAGCCTCTCTACTTAAAAGTGTGGATCCATTAGTCCCTCGAATTGCATTAAGCGATTGTCCTTCCAATTCCAGGGGGACTGGAGAAGGATGGTACAAAAATCTTGTGTGTATGTAGGAGAGTTATTTCCCATGTCTATATGGAGTCTGCTACTCATCCTAGCCCACAGATACCTTGCTAGCACAACCTACCCCTGGTCCTGCATGGCCACAGAAGAACTGAATCAAAACAGATCTTTAGCAGCCCGTGTTGGTGTGAGGTCTATGCCGGTATCTAACATAAATTGTAGATGTTATATGTACGGTGCAACCTAGCACCCGACTCACAGGGCATACCATCTTGATTATATATGTGGACTCTTAATCAGTGTAGAAGAAATGGGAGGTGCATTAAAATGGGAGGTTGTGCGGCTTAGGGCTGTTAACTTGCCAGTCTCGGCCTGCAGGATTTCTGGTCAGACCTAGTTTCGGGCATTTAAGGCCATCGTGGCGAGCTTGAGCCAGGCCTAGTGGGCCTGAAACATTTTCGTGCCGGGCTCTAGCTAGCATCCGCTTGGCATGAATTTTCTTAGTACAAATAAGTATATTAAGATGTTCTCTTTCTTCCATATTTATATACGCCATGGGCCTAGCATGATGGCCCGGCCCCGCCCGACTTTTGGGGCCCTGGCCGGGGTCGGCCTTTTTATTAGTAATTCGGGTTGGGCCTGGGCCAATCCAGGAGTATATTTTCATGCCATACCTAGAGTATTTCGGCCTGGTCTGCCCTGCCTTAGACCCATCCCCTTAATAACCCTAGTGCATCTGACCTAGGCCAGATGGTGGCCTCTTTTTTGTGGGGGCCCCTGAGAGGGAAACAAGAGGTCCAGTGTGGAGGAAGGCAACGAGGGGGGGGGTGGCTATGACTCTCATAATACGTCATGAATTAGGAAACTAAGAAAGGCGCAATCAAATGCCCTTTAAGTGAGAGTTCGATTTCATAAGAGATGATATCAATTTTAAGAGATAATAAAATGAGGTAATGAATTAAATAGCAATTCAAACATGAAACATCTTCCCCCCCTCTGTGTGTGTATGTGTGTGCAACTGTGTTGCTAGTGCTGCCCATGGTAGCCCTCCCTAAGGCAGGCTGTATTGCCAAGGAGGGTTATTTAGGGTTTGGGCCACCTCAAAGTGTCGCCTAGGATCCAATGCAGCTGGCCTTTTTATTATACTGCTACGAATTTACTAAAAGAAAATGATGTTGACTTGATGACTTTCTTTCAAGAAAAGAAAGTTGGTTGTTTTGATAACGAGCGCGGAAAGGTTCTTAGCCATTGGTGACCGATCCGGGGCACCGATCCGTTTTTTAAACCACTGGTTTTATGCTAGTGACATTGCCATTTCTAGTCCTTTTTTTTTATTATTTTTCTTCTTTTTTTTTATGAAAATTTCTTTGCCAGTCCCATTTTATTGCTACCCATAAATGAGTGGGAAGAATTTGTCTTCATCGAGCAAATGAAAGATGAGCTGCTCATGACCCTACTGATACTTGTATAAGATTGAAGAAGGCATTATCTTGGCTGAGGAAGTCACCTTGTATTTGGAAACTGACTGACTCTGGCTCAGACTAACTGATTCACCTGAACACGGGCCAGTTACCTGGTCTGTGTAAAAGATTTGGAGATTCTCCCGAATCTGACTTGATCATGGACCTAGTTTGTTAATTTTTACAGACTCAGCCTAGTCGAACTGCTGAATCAGGCTCAGGACCCTGGCAAGTTCCGACGAGTCCAAGTTTTAAATCACAGATGCCAAACATATCATGTTTTGAGGAATTTAATAGAGGGGTAGTTATTAGAGAGCCCATAGGAGATGGTGCTTTTATGATTGCAGCATTTCATTTTCCCTGCCCAGTCACAGTGGGTAGAATGGGTACTTTCCAATTCTGCCCCTCGAAAAATCAAATTTTTTTTAAAGAATTTCAAATTATCAATGTTTAAGATTACTGATGTTTTGCAGTTTGTATCGTTGTGAGATATTAATGCTAGCTAGATCTTTAGTACATATATTTTGCAGTTTCTATTTTTTTTCAATGTTTGAATAGTTGGTCGTGACTTGATTTGAATCTCTACTCAAGTCCGTTTTGGGGGTTGCTGACTTAAAAAATATAACATTCCAATTTTTTGTTCGAATTTTTTGCTCTCTGGTATAAAAATTGGAAAATTTGTCAATTTTTTGGCCAACTTGCTAGTGAATATACCGACTCAAGTCGCTTTTCAAAATCCAAATTGTGACTTGGCTTTGACTTTTTTTAGACATTGATTCCAGTGAGTATTGTTGTTGCATATACTGATTACTGACATCTGTAGAATTTTGCTCTTGAAGGAAAGGCAAGATGTCGGTATTACAAATATCAATATTGTAAACACTGGTTTTAATTGGAGAGATCCAACAGCTCACTATTTTGATTCTAATGAGATGTTATTACAAAACTGATATCTCAAGTAAGTTTTCTTTTTGTTGTTACAAAATCAACATTTCCTTTGCACGTGTTGTTGTTGGTACAAAATCAACATTTCCTTTGGATTGTGAAGGATGCTAAGTGCACACGCATGCGCAGGTGCTTATGCAAGGGCACATGAAGGTGCACTTTGCACCTCACTACCATTCACGTGAAGAGCCACTCTACACTATATAAAAACGGTTTTATACTCCCCATTTAAAAATCTCTTTACCAACTCATTATTTTCAAATCTCTTGAAGGAAAAACAATATGTCTGTATTTCAAATACCAATATCTTGTAAGCACCTGGTTTTTAGAAAACGACAGATTCAACCACTCCCAATTTTATTATGCACCCACTGTTTTTTTCTTCTGCCGCCATAAAGATGGGTGGTGATTTTGGTAATGAGTCAATTTAGCCATCAGGTCAGCTGATTATTAAGAAAAATGAGAAGTTGAACTTTAACCTTTTCCAAAAAGCGGAGGTTTTGTGGTAGAGAGCAAATTCCTCATATGGGGGCAAAGTTGAAATAAGCATTCTTGAGGGCTTTTTGTTAAAATTCCCTGATAGAACTAACTAATATTCTATGTTAGTTGCAGTTCCTCAGTTCTGTTGATTTTTTTTGTTGGTGGCTTTTTACATACTGGAATTGGTTTATTGGGGATTCATCTTCTTTTGGAAGATATTGGATTGGCTACACAAGTTATCTTATGAGTGGAGAGAAAATATTGGCATTGTGCTGAAATATTTTTCCCATTAACCATCATCTATAAGCCTTTCTGCGCTTGTTGTACGTGATGGATGCAAAATATATGCCATTTTATGGTTCAAATGTTGCTATTGATTGGTATTACATAATTCTGAGGACTGTATTTGTTGTTCGTTTTGGATGTCTAAAACAGCATGCCTAAAAATTAAGGCTCTACATAATGATGATTGGTCACATTTAGAACCACTATTAGGGACTTTTTAAATGCATTGTTATTGATTTGTATTACATAATTCTGAGGACTCTATTTGTTGCTTGTTTTGGATGTCTGAAACAGCATGCCTAAATATTAAGGTTCTACATAATGATGATTGGTCACATTTAGAACCAGTATTAGGGACTTTTTAAATGCATTTAGATATTTGGTTTTTGTCTTCACCTCCCTTGATAATTAGAAATTTAGAAGAACTTTTGCTTTGTGACCTTGAGTAAGACGCAGTATTTGTCTACTTATTTGAATTGTGAACTTGTGGGTAGTTGCACGCATCCATTGTGACTGAATGTGAACATCTTAATTCCTGCACAATGAACCCATTTTATGGACCATTTACTCTAGCCAACCAGAAGTTTCTTATGGTCCTTTTGAGAGCATGTATTTTGCTTGTTAACCATACCTTTGGCTGTACAAGCTAGGATTGGAACCTGAGATCAAACTATTAAAGCTCCATATCTTGTTTCCTTGCATTCGAAGTTAAAAGGTTTTCTGCTGCTTTCAACAACTTTATCTCTTTGCTTGTTGCTTGGAAATTGATTTCCTTATGAAATAATTCTCTTATGGTTAGGAGGTTAGCACCTGCTCTAATTTGTGTAATTCATATATGCAGCCCAAAGAATTGGTCAGCTTCCTGGTATTAATCAATCAACTTATATCAAAATTCAAGGGTGAAATGGGTGCAATATTGGAAGAAATATTTCCATTTATTGCAAGTCGTGTGTTTCACATTCTCCCCAAGGATGTGTTCCCTTCTGGACCTGGAGGTAACACGGAGGTAAGTTCAGCTTCTTTATTCTTTTCCTCTCAATCGATTATATAAGGACAGTACCCAGAATGCCGTCATAGATCATGTAGGCCATCCAAAGATTGAAATACGAAGACAGTATTGCATGGTTTACTTCTTTTTAAAATGGCTATTTTATCAATGGAAGCTTTCTGCTCTCTTGGGAATTGAAGCTAATTTTTTTAATCGGGAATAGAAATTATGTGGAGAACTGGAATTCTAGGTGGATTGAATGATTGAGGGCAATTTTGACTCTTCACTTTCGAAAATCCTCACTTTTTGATTTGAAGTTGTCCTTCTACATTTTTCACCAATAGATGTTTGAGTTTGTTCAAAAAATCTGAAATCCCACTTTACTCAACATACAATACGATGGTTTAGGATAAGCGAGTGTTACTCTTTATGCTAAAATCTCTCTCTGTTTTTTTGATAGATTATTGAAATTTTTCTTTTGATTGGTAAATTAAATTCATTAATATGTACAATTAGACCTATGCATGACTCTCTGCTAGATGCTTCAACTCTTTATATATCATAAGAATTTATAACTAGTCCAGCTTTGGAGACTTCTTGAGCAAGTGTGTCAGCCTCTGCATTACATTCTCTTCATATATGGCTAAAAGAAACCCTCATCTTCTCAGTGGTTGCCCTTATTTCATCCATTATATGTTGTAAGTGCCAAAGCACAATCTGCCTTCCCACAGAGAGAGGGAGGGAGGGAGGGAGGGGCTAAACCAGTAGATATGGCCTAAACCAGTATCTTCCTGAATAGTGAATGTATTGTTTTTAGTACAACAAAAGGAGGAAGATACGGCCTAAGCCAGTACGTACCTGAATATTTGGCTTTTAGTTCGACAGATGGCGGAAGAAATGGCCTAAACCAGAATCTTCCCGAAGATATGAACTTTAGTTTGACCAAAGGAGGGAGATACAACTTAAACCAGTTTCTTCCTGAAGATATGGCTTTTAATTCGACAAAAGGATACAGAAAATATGTCACCTTTTGGTTAAGATCTATCTTAAAGTTGTCTAAATAAAGCTATCATGACTATTCCCTGAGATTCTCAAAGCTCTTCTTTATAAAATTTCAAATGCTCGATTTAGTCATTGTAGATTCTGTGTTTTTCAAAATTGAACATTATTTTTGGAAAAATTCCAGACAAAGGCTTTTCAGTAAGGGAAAGTTCTCTGAGTCCAACTGTCTTCTGTTGGCCCAAGTCCAAGACAATGAGCAGCTCAGAGTCCGAATTCTACCACTTCACTAACCCCCCCCCCAAAAGAAAAGAAGAGAGGCTAGAAGTAGGGTGTTGTTTTTGTTCTTAGCTCCCTTTTGATACGTGAGCTATTATTGACTTGACGAAAAGTTTTAGTGAATCCACTGATTGGCTTGTCCCAAAAACAACCAATGCTTTCCCTCCCTTACCTTTCTTTCTCTTTTTGCTTCAATTTCCAACAATTTCAAATCTAAAAAATTCATACTGTCTGAGCAGACAGTAGGTTCTCGCTCTTACTATTTTAGCCGAAACTGTTACTAATCTTCTCTGCTTCTTGATCGCTGACTTTTCCTTTGAGTGAATGATTATGTGGTTCTATTCGTATTTGGCTCTCTTTGTCTGCAAATGTTTGAGCATTCTACTGTCTCTTTTTTCTTTGCCCATATAACCTGGAAATTAGAATAAGTGGATAACTTCCTTTTATTTAGTTATATTGGTTTTAATGTGGCATTACAGGAACTTCGAGAGCTGCAAGAGCTTCAGCGAACTCTGTATACCTTCCTCCATGTGATGACTACACATGATCTATCATCAGTTTTCCTTACCCCTAAAAGCAGGGAATACTTGGATGAAATAATGCGCTTGCTTCTTTATACTGCATGTACTCACAAAGACATCCTTGTACGAAAGGTAAGTTTGTAGTTACTACTGTCTTTTTCAGACATTCTTTAGACAATATTGCTAGTTTATTTGATTAATTACTGACCTTTAATGACCTTGTTGGTTACAGGCTTGTGTACAGATTTTTGTTAAACTAATAAGAGACTGGTGTACCTTATCGAATGAGGAAGAAAAGGTTTGTGGCCTTGAAGACTTGCATGTCTTCCTAGTTTAGAACTAAGCTTTGCTGGGTTCCGGTCAAGCATTGCACGATTTTATTCCTCAAAGACTTGCAATCTTCCTAGTTTAGAGCTAAGCTTTGCTCGGTTCCGGTTAAACATTGCACCATTTTATTTCTCTAACTTGTTTTCTCTTTCCAATACTCCACTGCATTCTTTCTTTATCTAAAGGTCTCCGCATGCTTTCCTTATCTAAAACTCACTGCACTGTTCCACTCTCTAAAACTTATTGCACGCTTTATTGCTCTGAAACTTACTGCATTCTTTATATCTCTAATTTGTAATGCTCATTTCTCACTCTCTTATCTCCCATGTCCTTACAGGTGCCTGGTTTCCGGAGCTTTATTATCGAGACATTTGCTACCAACTGCTGTTTATATAGTGTGCTCGATAGTTCTTTTGAGCTCCGTGATGCAAACACAGTAAGCTTTATTCATTTTGTGCTTTCTAGTCTTTTCAAGGTATCTGTGACTTCTGTCAAAACTGATGAACACACTATTTTCTTGTGCAAATTTTGCAGCTTGTTCTTTTTGGAGAAATTGTGGCCGCTCAGAAGGTCATGTACGAGAAGTTTGGTAATGACTTTCTCATTCATTTTGTGAACAAAGGATTCCCAGCTGCTCACTGTCCTCAGAACCTTGCTGAGCAGTATTGTCAAACACTCCAGGTATGGATCCTTGACTAGTTTTTTTCTTCCTTATTGTTTTCTGAGCCTTTCTTTGCTTCATAACTAGAATCTTAAGTTTGAAATTGCCCTCTTTTCATATTTCCTATTCTTCCTGTGATTTTGTAGCTGGTGGAAATTTGAGGTTCCTCTCTCTCTCTCTCTCTCGTTCACACACCCACAAATGCACACACGAATTGTGGGACTTGTCATTGGAAATATATTCTGATGGAGTATGATGTGCAGATCCACACACGGTCCTTACCTATGTTTTCACAACTTGTCAGCACTTTGGAGTGGTTTTTTCTCTTTTTGTTTTTTGTGTGTAGTAGCCTTTTTTTTTTTTTTTCTGTTCTTAACTTTGTGCATGGGATCCAGCAGTGCAGTGATGTTAAAGCATTAAAGTCATTCTACCAGTCCCTCATCGAAAACTTAAGACATCAACAAAACGGAAGCCTCGTCTTCAGATAGCATTAGCCTACCCGACTCTTCCATGCCCATGTATTATTTCTACCGCGCTTCTCTTGTAGAAGCCACAGGTGCTGGCTTTATTTTATTTTTTGATCTGGTCAAGCCTTGCCAAAAGCACTCTCAAATTATCAAATAGGTATGCTTTTTTGTCGTTGTTCGATTTCATTTATCTTTTATGTGGTATGGTGGTACACAACTGAGGTCCCAAGATCTACCCGTTACAATGCACAGTGGAGACCTCTTGGTGAAAAAAAGAGGAAAGTGGACAGTGGAGAGATTTTTTTGAATAGTAACGTGAAACCATCAAATCAAACCAAGATTTATTATGTCAATGACCATGGTTTACCGGGCGTTCGGTTCATTTTCACTGTCCATCGTTGGGAACTGATGGTGGATCTGTTAGCTGTGTACCATATACCATACGCAATAATAACTTGTTTATGCTTATGGGGTGTCGGCTTTGATTCTTACAAATGGCTTCTCTTTCAGAACAGTCTGTGTGTGCTCTGTTTCTTTGGCTGGATTTTCTTTAGAGTCAAGTTGAGATGAGATTTCTCATGACTAGAGTTCACCTTCCTATGGATGTATCATTAAAATGTTTCATGGTCTTATGTCTATGAAGTTACTTCATGTTTTGTTTCTAAATTCTAATCAATCCTATTATTTTTTTAATCTTCAGGTGTATATTTCGGGGATCACTTGTTCAAAAAAGCGAGAAGAGAAGAAAACACATTCATTTTGACATTTGAGTTTGGTGTGTAAATTTGTGTGTATACCTTTTCACCAATTGAGAGAGAGAGAGAGAGAGAGAGAGAGCGATAATTTTTTGATCCAGAGAGAGAACCATAATTTTTTGATCCATTTTTGGCACAAGAAGTCTCCATCTAATTGATGTCACCTTGTGTGGTTGACCTTTCTCTCCATGAAACCAATAAGGATGTGTATATTCATGGGCCTTTCCTGAACATAGTTACATTCATTAAGCACGCTTCTTTCGTTGTTTTGTGGGTGATTAGAGAATTTTGACGTGGTTTTGAATGTATATTCATAGTTTTGAATGTTTAGAGCTCGACAAAATGAAGGATCGTTCGTTGCGAGGGGATCATCTTTTTGTTAGCTTTGTGAGTGGAAACAAGTTTGTACTAGCTCTCAACTTTGTTGTGATGTTGGATTCACTAAAAAAGACGGATTTCAAATCATGAAAATAGTGCGCCTTGTAACGGATTATCTTGATTGTTCATCTTCAAAATTTCTTAGAGATTTACTTTCAAGGGAAAAGTTAACGAGTGCGAGGTTTTAAAAAATCAGATAAATGCGCTTCTAAAAAATTCATTAAAAAAATTTTGTTTTGATACTAAAAAATCCTCAATTTGTTCATCTCAACCTCAAGATGTATAGGCATGACAAAAAAAAAGTTCAAGAATTGAAAATAGTACATTATTATCTATCGTTTTTCAAGATTTTCAAGTGTTTATAGATTTATTCGATTTATATTATTGGTGAATTTTAATTTTTTTATTAGAGATAAAAATAAGTTTTTAGTCCAGCATAATTATTCTTAATGGAAAAAGTTCAAAGATGCAATCTTATAATGTAGAAGTAAGGATACACTTCAAAAATCCATTGGAAAAGGTAGACTTAATGTTGAAAAACTCTTCATCTTGACAGGGAGATGTATGACCTGGAAAAATAATAAGATTTTAAGTTTAAAAAAGAGTGCATTTTACAACATATTATCTACAGTGTTTATTTTCAAGATTTTCGTATGTTTATAAATCTATTTTATTTTAACCGTTTTTGAAATTTAAAATTTTATAATTAGATATAAAAATACATTTTGAGAGAATCCTCATAACATTTTACATCAAAATTATATACCATTAGTGTTTTAAAACTCATTGGGGTCGGATCGACCTTTTAAAACTCATTTGCTCATTGGGTCGGAATCGGTGGTGATATATAACTTGGCGATTTGCATAAGGCGATTTCAACTTGGTAAGGGAGTCTGACATTTTTTGAAGAATTGGGGGCATTTACCTTAATTATATACCATTAGTGTTTTAAAACTCATTGGGGTCGGATCGACCTTTTAAAACTCATTTGCTCATTGGGTCGGAATCGGTGGTGATATATAACTTGGCGATTTGCATAAGGCGATTTCAACTTGGTAAGGGAGTCTGACATTTTTTGAAGAATTGGGGGCATTTACCTTAATTGTCCATGGTCCGCAAAGACATTTTTTGAAAAATTAGGGGCATTTACCTATGGGTCAGCAAAGGCACGGGACACGTTCCTCCTAAAGCTCACGCATCACGACGTTCAGGCGACAACATCCAAAGTCTCAACACATGTGCACGCTAGAGCATCCTTGCCACGGACACAATTTATACCACATCATTCTTCCTTAAGGCTTCGATATGTTGGATATAAGTCTCCACACATGTGCACGCTAAAGCATCCTTGCCACGGACAATTTACACCACATCATTCTTCCTTAAGGCTTCGATGTTGGATATTTTTCAGCAAGGGCTAAATCATGCAATGGGTCGCCATAGGGTTATTGAATAACCATTATTCTAATATAACTTCACCTAATTGTGTGGTCCGTGAAAAGTGACCCTTCATCAATTTTGTTTACTTTTTACGTGTAGTTGATATCCACAAGAATAATAATTTTCAAAAATTAAAATAATTATATGAAATTGTTGTTTATTTATGTTAATAACTTAAATATAATTATGTTAAATTTATGTCAATATAATTATTTTTATATATATTAAAATTATTTTTAAATCATATAGACACGTGGGAAGTCTCTCTCCGGTGGATGACGACATTTGTGGTTCATAAGAAACATGAGAGAATTTTTCTTATGTTGCATCCCCACAATGTCAATATATGGGAAAGTGATTTCGTAGAATTGATTTTCCATTGGCGAGCCTTACACAGAGAGGGAACTAATTAGTTGGAGAAAAGACAGAGAAAGATGACTAATTAGTTGGATGCTTAGAATGAACATTAGCTGTGTTGTACCCTACAAACCCAACCAAAACCCCTATGCAAAGGGACTAGAAAACTAAAACAAACACAAAGACATGGATATGTCCCATAGTGGGCAGCATAAGGAGCCTTGCCTTCAAAACTCTCTCTCCTCAAAACCTTAATCTTTTTATCTCTTCCTTGGTGAAGCATCTTATTTTTAAGCTACTTTGCCAACCTGTCTCTCCTCTCGAAATAAGGCTGCGAATTTTTTCGGATCGGGTCTGGATCTACTCAGATTCATTCAGATCCAGATCTAGATATGAAAAGCATACATTGTATTTAGATCCGGTTCCAACAATTATTATGGGATCTGGATCTAAAAACTATACATGGGATCCGCATTAGATTTGCTAAAAGTTTAAAAAATTATGTGAATTATATATAAATTAATAAATATAACATAATATATACTATTTAAAAATCATAGTAAGATCCAAACCGGATCCACCTACACCTGAATCTGATCCAAATTACTATTCGGAACTAAAATTTGGATTTGGATCCGAATTTTGAATCCAAATCTTGGATCCATATTAATATTCGAATAGGATTCAAAATTCGAGTTTCAAACCTGAATCAGGTAGATTGTGCTTTATCTCAAGACTAAATCTTCTCAGGTGGACCATCCTGTTTTGAGACAATTGGCTAAATTGAACATTGTAAATGGGGCTCGTTACCTAACCTATTGACAAGCCATGAGGACCATTTGTGTTTGATTTTCTTGATTAAATCATAAAAAAGGGAAAAACAAAGGAGACTTCATTTCTAAACATTGATTACTTAACAGTGAAAGCTTATCAATTTTCAATGGTTAGGGATAGCTAACATTTTGTTTAGATATGTAATGTCAAATGTTATCATATTCATAGTGGGTTGTTTGCTTTGTGTCAGCCCGATCGTAGCCCTACTTCTTAGTCCAAGTTTGTTACGAAGTTCAACAAAACAATTGAGAAAATTGAGAGAGAGGGGTAAATTCAAATTTTGGAGAGAGGAGAGAGGTAAATTCAAATTTCGGGGGGGGAGGAGAGAGAGAGAGAGGAGAGAGGTAATACTAAGTTTGGAGAGAGAGAGAGAGAGTAATATAGTTGAGAGAGAGAGAGAAGTAATATAGTAGAGAGAGAGAGAGGGAACGGTAACGTAGTAGGTAGGAGAAGTAGTACTATAGTAGTATAAGTAGTAGTAGTAGTAGTAGTAGAGAGTAGA